TGTTGAATCCTGCTTAGTGTTATTTACATTGTAGTGTTTTGTGTGAGGACCTGCAGCTACAAATGTTTTAACATCCTTTCTGGGTTTTTTTTCTTTTCTTTTGAATTTTTTTTTGTATCTGATGCAGGATGGGTGTGTCACACATTGAATGGAAATTAACACTTCCTGTTGAAAATAAACGAGGAAACCCTCCAGATTGCCCCAGTTCAAAAGTTTTAGCAGTTTTGGATTAGCAATGGATCCAAAGTAATTCTATATAGATGCTGAGGTGACTATTTTCGGGCAAATTGATATATTTTTTTCTCGGAGAGCAGAGTGGCAGTACCTGCTGCAGTACTATGAAGCTCAATCCCTATCTGAACTCTGCTGTTGCATAGTAATGTATTTATTCCTTTAATGTATTTATTCCTAAAAAGTATTTTAATTTGTTTTGTAAAGCACTTTGAATTGTCGTGTACAGAAAAGTGCTCTATGAATAAACTTGCCTTGCCTTGCATATATTCTCTCTATTGCGTAGTACAGCCCCACCCAATGACTTATCAAAACATGCCACCTCCATGTTGCTGTGTTTTACCGCTCAGTGCTTCACTAAGAGCAGGTCTATGAACAGCAGATTAGAAATCACTACCGAGGCAGGTAATATTAGGAGTTTTTAGAGGATTAAGAGTTAGGGGTCCAGTAAAAGGAGAGCATTGACACACTTCCATATTTTTTCTATCACAACATCATAATCATTTCTATAACAAAAAAACCAAGTGGTGGATATCACAGTCCTCATTTTCTATAATATGTTAGATTGTCTCTTCTTGTTTAAGGCCTTCCTCTTTTAATTTACTTAAATGTAGTTTTAATTATATGTTATATTCACACTTGTATTTACTATATAGGGTTAGTGTTAGGGATTATAAGTGATTATATATGATTTATTTTATAGATTTTAGACAACAAATAGAAACAATTGCATAACAAAGGTCAGTCTCAACAAAGGAGTGTGCAGGTTCATTGCTGTGCTTTTAGAAAGTGTTATTTGAATAAAAGCCACTAAACACCAGAGACACCACACATTGAAAAATGAACTCACCCCCAAGGAACGTTCCTCCATTTGAGAGGCAGAACTGAAAAGCAAAGTAAACATTTGCAGTAAAACATTAGTCCCATTTTGATTGATTTGATCTATTAGGCAATATTTTTGAAACATTTGGAGTTACGTAAGTCTTTGGAGAATATTGGGGGGGGGGATTCGTTGACGAAGAATTTTCCAGATGTAATCATCCTTCTCAGTGCGCTCAGTATCAGTGTATCAGTGTCATCACTTGTCTCGAGTTCTGAGTGGTAGTTCTTCACAGGAATGATGCAGCTTGTTGGGAAACCCAACACGCCACTCACCTCCTCAATCTACATTTAAGAATTTGACATTTAATAAATGAAAGTGGTGATCCAAGGAGATTTTGCTGTTACAATATTACAGTGTAAAACAAGATTATATTCTAACCTTAATTACAGCTCTTTACAAACTAAATGACAGACATAAACTTACCTTTTAAGATAAGATCAATAATACACTTTATAAGATCAATAATACACTTTATGTTAGGGCACCTTTCAAAACATTCAATGTAACTTTAAAATCAAATCAAAAATAAAATATGAGTGGCACTACAATACACAAATGTGTTGAGTAGGAAACCACAGAGGACAATTACATTCAAAGGAGCAATTCAAGCGAGTGAAGCTAGTTTGAACACATTATATTTTAGGCTTAATTGAAAATAACACATTGTCTGACATCATATTTGTTATATCATTACTGTTATATCATTGCTTACTATTCGTGGTTATCAAGTATCAGACACTTAAACTACAGAGAAGGTTTTAAGAAATAGGACTATACTGACAAATGATATCTTATCCTTTCATTGTCTGTTCTGGATCTGGATCTGGATTAATACTGAGCAGAACCCAGAGGTATCACGCTCAGTGGGAGATGGATGATCCCCGCTAGATGTCTCTTAAAATTTGCCGGAAGCACTCCACGGTTTCTGCGATGACAGCTTCTTCTGGTAGCAAGTTCCACTCTCTGATTGTTCTCGTAAAGAAGGAGTATTTAAGAGTGTCACTAGTTGCAAAAATTTGCTCAAAGTTCAAAGAGTTGGCTTTGCGGGTTGCACTTCTTCAAACTGGCTCTAGGTACATTGATGCATCAATGGCTGAGATGTTATGGACAATCTTGAAGAAGAGAACCAAACGAGCCAATCACCGCTTTTCACTTAATTCCACCCAGTTCAACTGCTTGAGCATTTCTGTGACACTGCTGTCCCATTCATAATCTCCAAAAATGAATCTTGCACCTCTTCTTTGTACTGATTCCAGGGCATCACTGTCTTTATCAGTGTAGGGGTCCCAGACCGAGCTGGTTTACTCTAGTTTAGAACGTACTAGGGCCACAAAAGTTGTCTCCTTCAGTTTCTGGGGACAGCGTCGCAGGTTCCGGCGTAGGAAGCCGAGCGAACGGTTTGCCTGTGTTACAATTTGGCCAATGTGTTGGCCAAATTTCAGGTTGTTATGGATTTCTACCCCAAGATAAGGCTGGTGGGTCACCTCTTTTAACACCTGGCCACATAGAGTATAATTTTTAATGTGCGGGTTTGTTGATCTGCTTGTTCGTAGGACGTAGCACTTACTAGTATTAAAGCACATTCCCCAAGTGTTAGCCCATTCCTGAAGTCTAGTCAGGTCACCCTGTAGGTCTTCTTGGTCACTTCCATTTTTAATAGGCCTGTAGAGCAGGCAGCTCATCCGCGAATAACCGCACTGTAGATGCTACATGTGACGGCAGGTCATTAATGTAGCATAAGAAAAGCAATGGACCCAGCACAGTGCCTTGTGGGACACCAGAGTCAACGTGAACTGTACTTGATTTCACCCCTTCTACGACTACTTGTTGGCTCCTTTGCATAAGAAAGGTTGTGGTCCAATCAAGTATTGGGCCGGTTATACCGATGTGGGCCAGCTTTAGCAACAGGCGCTGGTAATGAATATTGCCTCTTCAGCTGGGACATACACAACCCAATGAATACATAAAGTGCTCAGCCCCAGGTTATATGTGTATCTTCAATGATTGATGCCGATAGTGTGCTCTTGAATATACAGAAAAGCTGTTTCAGCAGCAAGGCTGCCGAGCGTCTGCCTCCGAGAGGACTGGATCCCAGAGCTAAATCATATCACTGCCCCATGCCGAGACAGCCAGAGCTCTGTAAATGGTATTACTGCTGGAGTAATTGCATTTTATGTCCATTTCAGGGCTAATGGATCATCCTGTTCAACCAGCACTGTGGTCGTTACCTTATACAGAAAGCACTAATGCACACACAATCAAGACTTCATTATATTTTGAAACGAATAAAGGTTACAGCTGAAGAGTTCACTTAAAGTTGTTCAAAAATCTTGTCAATCAAGCTATGGAATTTTTTTTGTATAATTAGATATGTTTTAGAATTTATAAATCTTATCCTCATAAACATACATTGTTAAATAATTTTGACACTAAGGATACATCTCTATCCTTATTTTATTTGTATCTTTATAAGATAGTTGTTTTACCATTTTAGCCACTTTTAATAGAATATATATTACTCTATATGGAAAGTATATATATAGAATAACATATAGTGTAACCAAGTAGAGACAATGAGGATGACATGCAACAAAGGTCCCTAGAAACAAACTTAGGATGTTTGTTTACATGGCATGTCTTAATTACAACCCATCTGACTTTACTCCATATTTTTAACACTAAATAATTCACTTTTATTTATTTTTTATATACTTTATATTGATAAAAACGTATGGCCATATTAAATATTATTCTGATTAATTTAATCTATTGTTTTTATGATGATCCTAAAGTCTAAGGTTTCGAAAGAAAAATAAAAAGTTTTCTTCTTCTTTTTTTTTTTTAAATAGAGTCAACAGCAGATTTGAAATGGCTCATGTCCTCACCATGTCTCGATGTTCCAGGTTAGCATTGTTCTCCAGCAGTTCTCTCACCACCTCGATGTGGCCCTCCTTCGCTGCCGAGATCAACGCCGTCCAGCAGTCCTGCACACACAGACAACCTGTTACCACGGGAACTCCCAGCAGTCTCCAAATCCAGTTGGAAAATCGTCTCTCCGATCACTACAGGACGGTCCAGGAGTGACTCAAAGCACTGTACCTACCAGCTTGTCGTACCAGGTGCTCATGGGAACATGGTGTCGCATTGACAGGCAGGAGTGTCGGCGTGCAAAGTGTGAAAGAAAAGTGAAACTATGGGATGAAATGCTTCTTTCTTCTTCTGTGTTACTGCGAGAGTGAGCACAAGTGTGAGTGTGCTGTGTGTAATAACAGGTAATAGCAGGTTACATGTATGAGATGTTAATGAGAGGTGTACTGTATGAGCATGCGTGTGTCTCAGTGAGAGGGTATATGTGTGCGTGAGTTTTTGCGTGCACAGGGGGCCGGCTTATGGAGGTAAAGGGTGTTGGCCAAGCAAGTGGATCCTGTGATTTAGTCAGAGGAGCGAAGGTAAAAGTGTGTCCTAGGTTATCATTAGGACTCATTATAGCTGTGCACTAAGCCTGAGGGAGGTGAGATCAGCAAGATGTAACATCAAAGCCACACAGCGACGTCTTTTTTGTCAGGTGGGTAGTGTGGTTAAAATGGCCGCATTGTTTTTCACCTGTGCCTGGACTCTCAATGTTTAATTAAGTGCCACGTGTGCCGGTGTGATGGTGTGTTTATGTTGAGGTGTCATGTGTGTGCATGCTTACAACATCGTCCAAGTTAACGTTGGCTCCTCTCCTCAGAAGCTCCTGTACTATCTCCACATTGCCCTGCTCTGACGCCACCATCAGGGGAGTCTGTCCGTTCTGAAAAAGGAGAAAGGGAAGAAACTGTAACTGTGACTTTTGGACACATCAACAAGCACATTGATTACACAGTTTTCCCTGTAACCCTTTTCAAAACTCACAGGGAAAAAATAATGGCAGCTAGTGATACTCGTTGATGATTTTACTCCAATCCAAACCTGGTACAACCAAGACAGCCTGATGATTATCCTTTAATGCAATATGGCCTAAAACAACCTTTTTCTATTACTCAGGTTCAAGGATTAATATTACAAATGTTGTTATTCTACATTATTTTAACAAATCTATTAAAAGACTTAACCCAATACTGTCTTAAATAGAGAGATACCGCAGGTCCTTCCTTCCCACACACACAACAACATAGACTATAACACTCCTTGTTGTTAACCACCAACTATGTGCAATATATATATATATATGCCGTTAATAACCGTGCAATATATACCTGGCTGCTAAATCCACAGAACTGTTGCAGGATGCGGTTTTTTTGTAACTTTTTTTATTATATATTTTTTAAATCTTTAATATTTTTTTTTTTGCATGCTACTTAGGTAACATTAAGCTGTCTTTGGCTCTTTTCTGCCGTAACAATGTACATTTCCCCTCTGTGGGACTAATAAAGGTATTCAGATTCTGAAATACTCTCTGACCCAACCCATTTGTTTTCACTGACGATATAAATCTTATAACCGTTCAAGAATATACTTTCAATAAACTTGAAATGTGGATTTGGTTTAATAGTGAGTATTTACAACAGCAGGGTGGCTTATCTGAGATTGACATGAAAGTAATTTAAACAGGGCTCGACAGTAACGGTTGCCAGGTTGCCATTGGCAACCATTCAGAAAAAATGTCAACCACTTCTTGGCCTTTGGTTGCCATCAGTGGCAACCAGTTTTTAACATAGAGAAATAAGGACAGCAAACAGCAAAATGTGCACCCCAAAAGAGATACATTTTAATTAGTTGTTGTATTAAGAGTGATATTTAATTATTGTTGTGACCAGTCGGAACCTGATACTTAAGTTGCACGTGCATTGGTGTGATTACGGAGCAAGAAAGCGATGCTCGCGTGCGTGGTGCGCCGTGTGTTTGTTTTACAAAAAAATGGCGAAGCAAATTAAGTTGTTTGACTGTGGGGTAAAAAGTTCGGCTAACCTGTCAACATCTCAAACGAATGTTCAAAGTGATTCAACTGATAAAGCGCAATGTGAACCCGAACGAAAAGCAAAGAGGAAATGTGTAAAGTCTTGGGAGGCGAAATATATATATGTACATTCTGCTCTGTTGTCCAAAATAAGAGTCCCGATCTTATTACTACCAAAATAAAAGTGCAAAACGAAACTTTACCAAAGGAAAATATTGGCATACAAATATAATCACTTCTATAAAAAGTAGGGGTGCACCGAATGGGAAATTTTTGGCCGAAACCGATACCGAAAATAGGAAACAGTTGGCCGAAAACCGAATGCCGAAAGGCCGAAAATGATTAATAGAAATATATATATAATGTTTACATTTTTTACCAATGTTGTTCAGCTGCCTGATTATGAAAAAATAAATGATTATGGCAAAACTCAACTTAAATAATAATCACTATTATGGGTCCATAAAACATTTATTCAGCACTTTTGAATGCATACAGTACATTAATTCCAAGTCAAGTGCATTTTCTTTTCTCTGTAGGATAACTACAACAAAGTGCATTCAGAACAAAGCCAAGGTGCTTTAAAACTGCATAAACATCTAGGCCAGTAGGCCTACAACAAAATAGTGTAAATAAAGACTGTAACAGCCAGGCCTTCAACAACAACAAATGCACCTATAAGTGCATGCATACAAATGTGCAAACTGGATAAATCCACATGAATGTAACTATTTACAAATGAAATTACAATTGAATTTCAAGAATCTGTAAATAAGGCTGTCTGTCCTCATAAGCAAAGTAGTAAACATTGTATAAAGATACATAAAGTGAAAACTGGATACAAAATCCACAATCAAGCGTCTTTGA